GGCCCTTGCCACTGACTTATTGTCTGTATGGTGTGTTGTTGCCTCTTGTGGGTACAGGACTTGTGGGTTTTTTTCAAAAAAGGAAAGACACGAACGATTTGTCATTATACATCGATGACTTGATTCATCCATTCTATAGGTTTATTGTCAATTTTTGAAATATCGCGTCGTTTATTTGTTGATAAATTCAATAAATCATAAATCAAACGGTGACAACAACGAAGGAGAGCACTTAAAACTAGTGACAACTGAGCGAGAAAATGTGGATCAAAGGAGTATACATAATACGTATAGGAAGCAAAAGAGAAAGAGAGAGGGGGGCAGATGGTATATTTGTGTTACAAGTGCAGTCCAAGTTAGCGGGTCCTATGACACAAGCAGCAGCTTAATTCCAAAGACCATACCCTGTTTGGTGACTGAGCTTTTGGTCCTTGTGCGCGTGTGTTGGCTTATCCAAGTTTACATTTCCGAGGAGTTGGTACAAGTTTGTTCTCGTTTATTCGTTTCTCGAGATTTTCGGGTAATACGACGCTCACCGGTTGTCAAACAATACGACGTATTCTTGATGAAAAGGGTTTATGCTCCACGCCCTATACAAGCACCAGACCAGTTTCTGAATGACTTTACACATTTTATAACACGTAGGTATACATATACGTGCTTTAAGCTCGACAAAAACCAAAAAAGTCACGAAGAATAAGAGAGAAAAGTTGGTAATTAAATCCACATCGTGTGCTGACGTTATAATTACGTTCCATATCAAGTGTATCGTGCACCACGTATACTCAACGTCCCAATGAACTATAGTAACCTAAACTCTTGTCGCCTACAATGTGTCCGCAAACCTAAAAATTAATCCCCAAATCGCTTGAAACGAATGTCTCGGCCACACCACAGCGTACCATACGAGAGCCCGGAGGAGCGATTAAAAAGCTCCCCCACGTATTACATATATACGTATCTCCACGCGATATTATAACATTCCCCATTCGGTCCCTGTCAGCGTGTGCGCCCATATTGGTGTTTCTCTCGCACGTGGTAAGTGCCATGCATATACACACACTTGTACTCCCTCGCACCCTCGGTCGCGGCATCGGAGCACCAGGAGCACACGCTTGCCTATTGATCGATGGGGGGGGGGGCTGCATGCACGGGGAGAAAAATATACAAGAGTCCGTTCGCGCGCGCGCACCCGCTTATATACTGTAAATGCGTACACGCGCGCGTTAAGTACATTCAGGCCCAAGTGTACCCCGTAGTTGCTTTGTGTCGACAAAATGATATATTTTTAAAGTAATTATCGACGGTAAGTTTTAACGAGCGATAAAAGGGCAGAGCTATAACGCGAGTGTAGCGGAACATCGTGGCCTCGGGATCGACTGGTAAATGGTAATATACCGAATAAGCATTGGCGGCGTGTGACCTAGCAGACGGCTCTTCTGCGAAAGCTCGACGTCCCTCTCTCGCGGCGACCCACCGACTCTCACAGATACACATACGTATATAATATATACATACATACATATATATATATACACACGTGCAAGTCCCAACTGTAACACATGTCCCCGATAATAATATTTAGGTGGATGTACACGGCACGTCCATATGTATATTTACGTACATTGTGAGGGATATATATCCTTCCGCGGTAAAGTCGAGAGAGATCGAGCGAGTTATATACACGCATTAGCTGGTTGTGCTGGTGCGCTCTATTCTCTGCTCAAGAATTTTCTATTCTAAAAATAAGCTCGGCTCTCCCTCCTCTATGTACTACATGTGTGTGTGTGTGTGTGTAACCTACAAGCTCAAGCTCACCCGTTCGACGGGCCGCGCTTGGCTAGCGAGCCCTGGCTCGTGTCTACAAATATAGACCTGCTAAACGCGCGTGTAAGCACATACGCACGTACAATATTTGTATTCTATATATGCTTATATTGTAGGTACTCACCGGAGCAGAAGAAATTACAGGAGTATGAAGATATTATAACTGCAGCAGCAGCTCAGACGGAGAGGGACGAGCGTCAAGGTGATAGTCGACGACGATGTTCGGTTATGTGTATAATTATATATCAAGTGTTCCTGGGGGGTTAGCTGTGGGGGATGCCTTATATTCTATTCTCTTAAACACACCCGCACGAGGGGGGCCGGGCGCCCAATATTGCGTTGTTCCCCGACACTAGACTTTTCCGGCAATAAAATATGTATACACGGGGGGCACGGAGCCGCTCCTTCGGATCGATGACGCGTGACGGCCCAACACCTGGCGCCCACCTCGACGTCCTTTCGTATACACACGCGCACCTATACAAGTGTCACGATTGTACCGCAGCACGAGGTACCCGGTGGTGTTCCTCACTCGCACTCACTTGGTTTTTCCGTGCAAAGTACAATTTTATGCTTTTTGCTCTCTTTCACTGTCAACTACGACTCATCTTACCCGGGGATGAAAAAAAAAAAAAAAAAAACAAAACAAAAAAAGAGGCGCGCGAGCTGATCCTTTTATCGAACTGACGACGGCAAAATACACACTCGCGCACAACAGACGAATACTCTCTATTACGAGGATGAAACAACTCGCGACGACGACACGGAAAAAGCACACAATATCTTTGATTATCTCGTTACAAATGTTGCTGCTATGCTGCAAGCACTGGCTATACACTCTATACTGTTGGTGCGCCCACACATTCGTCCTTCTTTCCTTCCTTGCTCATAATATATGTACCTACTTTTCGTCTCTCGAGCGATGCACGATTCTGACACGTCGTTACCTATTTTTTTTTTTTTTTTTTTTTTGTTCGTCCCTGAGGAGACTTTATTTAAAAACCATACAAACTCGATCCCTCTCGTGTATAGGTAAAGGATGTGATTCCCAACAGCGCCCGGCGCGCACGACCGAACCGAGTGAGCCGAGCGACAGTCGCACAAGCGCGCAAAGTCCTATATGTTATCTGCACGGCGAGGAAGACGTATACATATAAAAAAAAAAAAAAACACTATATTTCGCGCGCGCGCGCGCGCAGCTTAATCGTTGGTGCGCGAGTTCGGTGCTGCCCTCGTTTTATAGGACTTTCCGTATACCCATAATATACATATACACCTCAAATCAACGAGTAAATATAGGTGCCGCCACCTCGCGGATGGGTGTGCTTGTTAGTTGTTTTTATTGTGCTTGCAAGCACTTCTGGTGATAATTGTTCGTTACGCACGTGTATGAACATATTTAAGCTCATCTACCAAGTGATTATGTTACTTTATTCAGTTTTTATTATGTTCATTACCGATGTGTAAGTTTATTGATAAATTTTGTACCATATAGTCGCCGCTAGCTTCTCCTTTTCTTTTCGTGACAGCTCGCTATTGGTCTATATATATGTATATTGTGCATTGTACCAGCACGCCCGCCCACACACGTGTGTTATTAAGAGAGAAGAGCAGCATGGACTGATGACTTTTTTTTTTTTTTTTTTTTTACTTCTTTCTCGTCGTCATCGTCGTTGTATTGTTTTCTTCCTTAATCCGGTGTGTCCCCTATTTGTTTCGTATTTATCTCATCCTTGTCAACGTGTGTTGTGTTGTAAATCAAAAGTGAAGGAAAATTGCACGGTCTAATACAATCAAATTGGACTTGGCGAGCTTTTGTAGAAACTTATATATATATGTACACAATACGCTGCCCACAAGGACACGCACAACTTTTCTTTCGTCTCGATTTTTTTGTTTATTACACACATACGTGTACTATTGGGCAGATACATATAATGAAACAATATTATTATACATAAACCGGTGGCATTGAAGTCTCTTTCGGAAGATTTGTTCAAAAGCTATTGATGTGTCCTGCGACGATTGAGATGATGATCGTCTACAGAGCACTGCAGAGACATCTACAGTGTTTCATTTGTAACTACACTGCTGATGCGCGAGCGAAGCTTGGTATCATCGATAAGTGATAAGTGGGTATAAGAACGAATTTTTTTTTTTTTTTCTAAACTTTGTTTAATTAATATACAATGAGCATGCAAGGAGCTATCAAGGTATTGCGAAACATTTTTAATTAAAAAAGATTTGGGGTAACTCTTGAAATTAAGGGGTACTAACAAAAAACGAAGTATCCGAGCAATCAACATGATCCACGAGGATGAGTGATGGGCAAAGTTTATATATGTGCCGAGGAACCCATCGACAACAATTTTATGGTCAATTGGCGATTGAACGATGTATGATCATCGTCATCTCCAGCAATGTTTTTATCCCTCCTCTCGATCACATGCCATGTGTATGGGTATTTCTGCACGACTATTCTTAAACTCGTGCATTATTTATGCTATCGGTAAATATCGATGAATTACGTATACGGTAAATGTGCCTATTTACGTGTTTCATCATCATAAACTTGCATTTGCCTAATGACGTGAGGACGACAAAGTGTGATTTTGTAACCCATTGTATTTTGTTGTTATTTCATAATGAAAACATAAAAAATGTATAAATTACATTTTTATTTTTTGTTCTATTGAAAAGTATGGAAAAAATAAGAATCAAGGAAAGCAAAAAGCATCATAACGATTGTATCGTAATTATAAATTTGTGCAAACAATATAATACTAACAAAAAATACACGATATTTAACTCAAAGTGCTATTCATGTCGAGGAGAATAGCGATTTTTCCGTGATAACTGTATACCAAGATAATCTCGTGTGGAAGTGTAGTCAAGGCTTATTTTAGTTTGGCGTATCAAAGAAAAAAAATTAAATTAGCCAAAAAAAAAAAAAAAATATTTAATCGCCACCTATGTAGTAAGCATGAAGGGTATATACGACAATTATTAATTGATGCAAAGTTTTTGCATAATACGAATTTTATATGTATATACATTCCATCATCATTTGAAAAATATTGGCTGATCAAAAATGCTGTTTCATAAAAATAATTGACACGTGTGGAAGTGCTTTATAAATTTTTATTTTTCGTACAACGAGTACCTATTTTCAATCATTTGGGGGATTCTGCACGGAAATTAAGGGAAGACGGCATCTCTTCGTTGCGCATATTGTAAGTTTTTCCAAAATCCTTCAAGATTTTCTTCTCATTGGCTGTAACTAAGCTAATAACACCCCTTGGATTGTTACAATACCTCTTAAAATCTGGTCTGATGCTGAGAAAAAAATAACAATAATAAAATAACTCTTCGGTACACGTAGTTTGCGAGAGAAAAAAAAAAAAAAAAAAAAAAAAAAAAAAAAAAAACAATCCGAAAAAATCAAAACCTTAAAACTTACCGGCGAATGTAGTTTTCACAGTTTAAAGGTAAATCATAGTTAATGACCAGAGAAATAATGAGAAAATCAATGTCACTGATAATATCAGTGGTGATAATGACGCTTTTGCTTCCGCCATTGAACAAACGCATTCTATGATCGCGCTCTTCTTGATCCATACCACCGTGAATGGCGGTAATAGGAAGACAAAAGTTTTGACGGTCCAGATTACAAGTCAGCCAATCGACCTTTTCACGAGTGTTGCAATATACGATTACCTTCAGGCTGGTCATTGTCTTGGATAAATCGAGCAAAGTCGAGAACTTCCAAACCTCGCGCTTAACAACGACGTAGTACTGTTTCACATTTTCAAATGTCAATTCCTTTCTTTCAACGACTATTTGAATCGGCTTCCTCACCAAGCACAAGGACTCCTCCATTGCCTCCGTGGACATGGTATTCGATACTAGGATTACCTGAAAATGAACAAAAATAACGTTATATGTACATTTTTTTTTTTTGTTACCAATCAAAACGATGCATTAAAAAACACTTACCTGGACGTTGGGCGGTAGAGTCATGAGTACATTGTAGATTGGATACTTGAAACGGGGAAAGAGCATCTCGTCAGCTTCGTCGAGGACAAACATGTTGATGTGTTCGGTGGAAAACGCGCCTCGATTTATCATGTCCAAAATGGAATTGGGTGTACCAATTATTATGTGGGGCGTTGCATCTTGTTCCAACAGGCTAATGTCGTCGCTGATGTTGAGGTCGGTGGGAAAAGCGTAACATCGCGTGCCCGTGTAAATGCCCAAGATAGTGATGATTTTTTGAATCTTGAATTGACGGCATTAAAAATTAAACGCTGGTTCGTACAGTTACAAGTGATCGTTATTATTTTGTAGTGGATATACCTGCATGACTGACTCGTCGATGGGTGTGAGTATCAAGGCCTGGCATTCGTTCAGGTTTGTATCGATCCTCTGTAACATGGAAATGGTCGAGGCAACAGTTTTACCAGCACCTGAAATTGCGTTAAAAAAAAATTAACAACAACAACAATTTAGTGCATGAAATGTTGGCGAGAAGATAATTTTTTTTTTTTTCTTTTGCTTACTAGCGTGGGCTTGGATGATGAAATCATCGTTTGTTTCGATGCAGGGCAAAATGGCACGTTGCTGGATAAGAAAAGGTTCCTTCAGACCATAAGCAAGAATACCCCGAAACAGTTCATCCTTCAATTCCATTTGGTCAAATTTTTTAACCACCTGTTAACAAAGGTGTATGTATTATTCATTTTTTTTAAATTAATTTTTTCTTTTTTTTAGACATGTACAAACATACATTTTTATGGGTAATTTCTGTTGTGTACAGATCAATTCAAACATCCATTAGCTCTGAAAACTTAATATTGATTTACACCACTTTAATAAGACTTGGGAACGAGTATTTTACAACATTTAAAAGAAAATTTTTTTCCCGAGTGCATGGGAAAAAATTTTTTTCAAGCAGATAAATGCAATACGTTTTTAATGTTTATTGTAAAGTATTTATTAAAATACTTTTTTAAAAACATTGACCCATTTTTTTTGGCAAAAATAATGATAGCAACATTAGTATACAAAGATTAATTAATTAAAAAAAAAAAAAAATTTTTTAAAAGTGTCCAAGTCTGATTTAAATATTTTTTGCACTACGGGGGATGCCTTTTTTATCAACAAAAACATGCATATGGGTACTTACATGCAAAATGGTATGGCTCGCATCTACAGCTGACGGACCAACAGCTTTATACAGACTAATTTTTGGAGTATTCAGTGTTTCATTGTCCGATCATTGATTAACACCCATGCAACAAGAGCCAAAAATCAAAATTTTTTTAAAAAACTCGATGGATTGATTGTTTACCTCTTTATTTTACACATACAAAAAAAAATGATTATCTAATGATGATCTACTGCACATGCGTGAGTTTTTTAATTTAAACTATGTAAATTTTACGTACGTGCATCCGTCCGTACATAGATTCCAAATTGGCGAATTGAAAATAATATGAAAGAAAAATTTCGAATTACCCCTTTTCACTCATGATGATGTTCCTACAGATATTCCTTCGCTTCCTAGTTTTTTTGGTAATTATTGGCGTAAAGTTGCCTGAAACACAGTGTTACGATATGCACCAACCAATGAAAGCGCTGGGATATATATATACTTATACAATTAACGGCGCCCAAATCGAACACAACTTTCACCCCCAACAATAACTCCCTCTTTGATCTTCACTTCTAATATATATTTCGTGAACTGCGTAAAAATGAGGTTCGTTCGTGGGCCGTTGTGGATGATTTCGAAAGAATTAAACTTTTTGTAACTAGTGAGTGAGTTTGAATCCATGACATGAGGACATTGGTGATTTCCATGCGTTTCGATCCCCTCCGAGTTGATCAACGTTTCTACGAATTCACGAAAAATCGTAAACTCTCTTCCGCGAACCAAATATAATGATGATGTATTGACAATGGCATTGATCAACAGATGAGAAAGTGAAAAAACCTTGTAAAGAGCAATGTGGCGGTGTTAGTAAATGCAATTTGTTTGCAAACGCAAACGCGAAAATGTTATGCATCGGTAAATTTGAATTTCTCTCATAAAATATGTACATTTACTTGTGTCGTTGTTGGAAGATGAAAATAAAGCCAATATCCAATAATCCTTGCATATTGTACAATTGACTACACTTTTGGTGTGTTGTAAGTGTATAACATTAGTACTGATTTCTTGCATCTCGTTTGTACAATCAATGAAGAAGAAATAATACGTCTCGTAAGTTGCTGAGCTTATTTATAAACGATCAAACAATAAAAATAAGAAAACGAGAAATAGGAGGAACGATTAATATGTAAAACTTTTGATCGTGTGGGATATCGGTCGGATAGAATTTCATATATGTAGATTACTGTCCGTCTTTCCGGAATTCCATATAACTCTATCAGTATAGTGGAACATGGTATCATGATGGATAAATAATAAGGCCATTGAGTCAACTGTACGAAACAAACGTCGTTGATGCACACTCACAGTGCTATGAAAAAAAAAAGGCTAATTGAGGAATTGAAAGGTGAGTCATAATGACAAGCACTGAACGGCCCAAACTGAATATTTTTAAGATAATGAGAGTATCAGAGGTTTGTCGGACTCAATTGTGACAAATTATATACCATTAACGATTTTTTGGTGTTAGTATTACGTCACAAGAGAAAAGGGAATATTTTTAGCACAAACAAATAATATATATACACAGCTATGGCCATTAAACTCCATATCTTAATTACCAAAAGTGATAATGAAATACTTGTGGGAGTGTGTGTCACAATTTATTTTTGTTTCTCTGCTGATAGGACACGAAATTGAAAAATTCCTTTGATTTCGTTGGATTGTCCATATAAAATGAAAAATTGTTGAAAAGTACATAACTTTTTATTTTTTAATAACCACGGTAAGTAGGTATACACCCGTATTATTTTTTTTCAAATAGTTCGCGCTTTTTCTTCAAACGACGTTAACGCCACGTGCCGGCAAATTATTGCAATTTAACTGGTTTAAGGCACCCCGTTGGCGATTATGGCGATTCTGATTACATCAAAATTAATCCGATAAGTATAGGTACTTATTATCAACCGCAATTACCTATTTTCACCGTATCCGTAAGTAACATTGAACTTATCGTAACCCATAAACATAGCTTTTAGCCCACCAGCAGCAGCTCTGTTTTCGTTATCGTGCAAATGGTGGCATAATATATACTTACTGCTTTTACATCACACGGCAACACCTAACTTGACTGCTCTCTGGCTTACACTTCAGACTAGGTCGTTAATACCAGGTTGTCTGCTGCTGGACAATAACAATCCCATCCAGAGCCAGGGCGACCTTTTCATCAACGTCATCCCTTCGAGGATCTGCCTTCCTACGCGATGGATACCAGCGAGGGAGAGCACTACGTCACATTCTCGCTCGACGACGGTACGTTTTAGGTTAATTTATCTTTGGCCTACCTATTTTACGTACCGCCTTTTGTTACTAAATACAATCACGTCTCTACTTGCATACAATGTAATTAGTCAATAGTTTGTAATACTATCGTGCGATCATGCAGGTATACAGAACAACGTTTCGCACGAGGAGATATGCGAGCCAATCGACGAAGAATGCGTGCTGACAGAGAACATGACCGAAGTAACAATGGAGGAGGTGAGCCAGGAGGATTTGGTCGAGACGCCAATGGCTGTGGAAATAATAACAGAGAATTCGGAAGATGGTGAAGAACAGGGTGCCTTCATTTACATAAAGAAAGAGGCTTCCCAGCAGTTTACGACGGGCGACGAGTCTATGGCGGTCGAGGCTCTGCGACAGCTTGGTGGCATGTATTGCTTCGAAGAGAAAAAGATTGCCTGTCCAAGTTGCAAGAATACCTTTGCCCCTGGAGAATTGGCCAAGCATCAGAACTCGTGTTCGTCCACCAAACACATTTGCACCTTCTGTCGCGAAAAGTTCGAGAGAAAGATCGATCTGACCAATCACATGGTGTGCCACCAGGTTGACAGACCCCATGCGTGCAGAACATGCGGAAATCTGTTCAAGTCCAAAGCTAGCTTGCAGGCACACATGTTGGAGGTTCATCAGGTTGACAGGCCTCACAAGTGCACCGTTTGCGGAGCTGATTTTCAGAGGCCATCCAGTTTGTCCAATCACATGAAAATTCACAGCTACGTCGCAGGCAGAGCACTGATGCAAGCCAATCACGTCGTTGCCAGTATTGAAACTGTCAAGGAGGTTTCTGACAATTACGATAGTTCTATTTTGACCACTGTTCAATCCATTCAAAACATTGATTTGCCTCAGGGTCAATGGACAGCTGTGCAGATCGCTACAGATCAGGGGGACATTGAGGGCCTTGCTATACAACAGGACAAAATTGATTCTGTGCAAGAGTACGCTGTACTACCCAGTGGAGAAGTTACCCAGCTCACAGAGTATACTACACAAAATTCTGTATGTATCAATTGAGTTTATTTAAGGTATTTTTATATTAATCAACGCTTGAACGGTGTGTACTTGTTTACAGATGGAAGATGAAAATTTGGATAACGAGTGTGAAAAGACTTTCATAAAAATTGACTTGCCAGGAAATAAAGGGCACACTTGCAGTATATGTGGCGTATCGTTTGCGCGTGCAGCTTCTTTAACTATGCATGTGAAAACTCATCCAAAAGGTGAATCTGTTTTGCCAGTCGAATGCGAATACTGCGACAAACAATTTCAAGATGCCAACTGCTTGGCAAATCACCAATCTGGCTGTACAAAGAAAATAATGAAGAATTCAGGGTCTAAGGAGAAATGGGGCAAGCATGCGTGCTCAGACTGTGGCAAAACATTCACGACGAAACAAAAAATGTTCAGGCATCAGTGGATCCACAGGAAAAAAACGTTTTCCTGCGAAGTTTGCGGCTCCCAGTTTGAAAAACAGCCACAACTCGACGCGCACAGGCTATCTTCTCATCCGGCGGGCACGCCTTTTACTTGTCAAGAATGTGGCAAAAGTTTCGTGTCTCGTCAGGGTCTTTGGGAACACGGCAGGACGCACGCGGGCAGTCCGGCCCATTTTCACTGCGACGTATGCTCCAAGACCTTCTCTTCGAGGCAAGGGTATTTAATACACCACCGGACTCACACTGGGGAACGTCCGTATGGTTGCAAATTTTGTTGGAAGGCTTTCAGGGACGGTGGTACGTTGAGGAAACACGAGAGAATACACACTGGTGAGAGGCCGCACGTTTGTCCACTGTGTCAAAAGTCGTTTAATCAAAAGGTCGTTTTGCGCGAACACATCAGGTGGGTTCACGCTGCTGGGAAAAATGAGCCTGAACTCGCAGGTCCACCTTTTCCGTGTCCGTTGTGTGAAATCCTCACGCAGGATCGAGAGGAACTGTGTGCTCATATCGTCAAACACTCGGATCAAATGATCGCAGAGGCCAAAGCGAAATCTAACACTGTGACTGTTAAGGTGAAATCTCCGCCGAAAAAGAAAATAAAAATGTCGGAAGGGAAGCAAAAAAAAGCAGGACAGCCAAAAACAGCGAAAACAAAAACGAAAACTGCGAAAACGAAAGCACAAACAGTGGAAGAGCGAGTTGTTACCGCTGAAGAGCAGCAGGAAGCACTACTTTCCATCTCCGACCACATAGATCCTTCCGCGGAGCCGCAAGATACTTATTTTATTGTAAAAAATGAGTATGACAATGAAGTGTGCATAAAAGCGTACGCAAAACTAAGCGATGTTACTCAACTGCAAGGTTCGAGTAGATCGATTAATTTGATAACGATTGCAAATAAGTCTAATGAGAGCCCAGAAAAAAGTAGGGAGGAAAATGACGGTGACGTCAACAATGAGGCTAATGTAAATACTATGCGTTTGATACCTATAAGTACAGAATCAGGGGAAACAGTTTACATTGCTGAGAAGCAAAATAACACTTTGCACCTAATATCGAAACAAAATGAAAGTTTACCGGTTTTAGCATTACCAAATCCAGATACTGATGAAAATTTTTCCAACGAAATATCGAACATGAGTAACAACGAGTCGTCGATTGAAATCAATATCAACAATTTACAATCAGCACCAGAAGAAAGTGAGGAAGAGCACACGGAAACTATGATTATTGAACCTGTAATGATAATTAAGGAGGAAGTTTCCGGAAATGAACAGATGACGAATGAAAGTGACAGTGAAAATGAAAGTGAAGAAATGGTGTGTGGCATATGTGGGCATGAATTCGGTGATAAAAATGTTCTAATGGAGCATGTAAAAATTCACATATAAACAATTATTATTAAGTGTAAAATAGAGTACTGTACAGTTTTTGTTATTCTTTGATTTCTGTAAAATATCTACCGCAAAATGCTAAACTAAGTTGATTTAGAAATCGAAAATAGTGAAATACTTTAATTGTACAGTATGATAAAACTTTCTAATGCTAAATATGTTTCATATTAGAAATTAAAAACGTTTTTGTATAAAAAATTCATATTGAGATGATTATTGAAAGATTTGTAAAATAATGCCCTATTAAAAAAAAAAGACATTTTGTTCAAATGTTAATATATATATGCTATATTTTAGAATAATTTATGATACATTTTTACGTGTCCAAATAAAAACGTTTATACATTAACCTACTTGCATTTACAACTGTTTACTTCACTGTAAAAATTAAACCCTAATTTAATATCTTCAACAAATTTAAATCAAAATTTTGTGTGCCAGAAATTTCGCCCACTTACCTTCAAAGCTGCACTCTACTTGACCGTTGGATGATACACGTTCGTGGAAGAATTGCGCAAAATACAGATGGAGGTGTTGTCATAAAATTTTGCGTAAAAAACAAGCGCGTGCGAATATACACTTTAAACTAGTTTAAAGTCAAAAGTTATTATAGTTTAACCAGTGTCCGAAGATTCAACAAACAATAAACGACACAGTGGAGATCATCAATTTTCAACGCATCACGTCAACGGACATCACAGGCCTCTGACCAGCTGAAACTAAATTCCTCGGAAGAGGTAAGTATTTCGAGATTTCACTAGCACACAATAATGTTCACCACTTTTTCTATGCTGATTAATTAATAGTCACAGGTAAAATACTTGCCAATTTTTATTCGTTTCCAAACACGTGTTATGTCGCGTTATCAATTGACTCAAATCCCTAACCTAACCTGTCAACACTCTCTGTCACCTTGGGCGCGCAATCCTGCGCGTGTGCTCTTTTCTGCTTCTGTCGATTATTAGGTTAAGTATATTATTGTTGTGCATAATAACACGCGAAAGCAAAAAGTCGTCAAAAGGCAAAGTAATTGTTTCGCAAGGTAGATTGGTGTAGTTTGTTCTAAAGTGTCACAAAATCTGCAAGTGTGAGCGGTGTGAAGTGAAAAAACAGTTGACTGAAATAGTTGAAAATGCCGACGTGGAATCAAATCCAATCCCAGCTCCGAAATCCGAACAACCCGGTCGTTTTCTTCGACGTCTCCGTAGGCACGACGGAAATAGGGAGGATGATTTTCGAGCTCTTTGAGGACGTCTGTCCAAAGACTTCGGAGAACTTTCGACAGTTTTGTACGGGCGAGTACAAAAAAGACGGTGTGCCCTTGGGTTACAAGGGTGTCATCTTTCACAGGGTGATGAAGGATTTCATGATTCAAAGCGGTGACTTTGTCAATGGTGATGGTACCGGAGTCACAAGTATTTACGGTGGTACCTTCCCGGATGAGAATTTCACACTGAAACACGATTCTCCCGGCTTACTTTCGATGGCAAACAGTGGAAAAGACACTAATGGTTGTCAGTTTTTTGTTACCTGTGCCAAATGTAATTTCCTTGATGGCAAGCATGTCGTTTTTGGTAGGGTGATCGATGGACTTTTAGTGATGAGGAAAATTGAAAATGTCCCTACTGGACCAAATAATAAACCAAAAATACCAGTCACTATTTTTCAGTGTGGACAGATGTAATACTGTGTTTTGGTGTGATGTTTCATAATAATTGTAATTGCAGACTTTGAATTTAATAAAATTAGGTTGATATTTTTTAATAACATAGGTATTTTTATTTTTTGCATTCTGATCCTAATGTATCACATGCCAGCTAGAAGTTACATTTAATGAAACGAATAATATTTAATGTATTTATTATCCATATTTTGTTTTTGTTTGATATTTAAAGGAACGATGTAGTTTATAAATTATTTTGATTATAAGACTGTCGTAAAATTGTACGAAATAATTAAAATTTAAAATTCTGAATTTTTGATAAGATTTATTATACTGCAGTACAGAATTGCTTTACACATATTGATTTAATTTTATTTTTTTTCTACAAATGTAGGCATCCTCATGGACATTAATTTTAGTTAAATACTGTTATCCAGGAAATTTATTTGTCCTGTATTTTTAAGCTTATTTGTATATCCCACCACTTTGCTTGACTGAACCATAATTATCTGACACCCCTCAGAGCACATTTATATTACTATGTATATCTAGCTCCACTAGTTAAAACGACCTATAGAATTTTTTTTCTTAATAAATTCATATCTTGTTTGTACAAGATATATATTACGACTATTCTATAATTATAATGATTATCAAAACTATTGAGTACACCCATGCATAACAAATTTTAACAAGACAGTTTAGTAGTACTGAATAACGTGGGTACATGTATTTCGTAATATTATTAATTAAAGCGCTAAAACTACTCTCAACAATCTATTTACAATTCTTATCGACTAACGTTTGTTTACTTGTAATGAACTCTCCCCATCAGTTGCAACACTTAAGCATCGTACACTCACGATACAGTTTATACATGGCAAAAAACATTCATTTCGTTACTGTGGCTTGGAAAAAAAAAATCGATTTAACAAGTCACTCATTAAGTATTTCTCAACCTCTATCGGCACATCTTTGTATGCACAAAGTCTCATAAAGTATATCTAAAAAAGTTCACGGTACATGTATTCACTTGAATATCCTTCATCTAAGACAACAGATTCGTTTCGACCCTTGCCAAGCCACGCTGCACACTAAATGCAGATAAGGTGTATATAAATATACTCAATACATATGTATAATAAAAGAGCAATGACCAAGCATGCACGTCTATGTTATTATACATATTATATAAGTACACCCACGGGACGTAATATTATACCCTCGTCGATTGGCAAGCGAAGCTTAGATGAGGAGCTCGCCTCACGGTAGCGAGAGCAGTTGCTTGTCGCTCTTGGCCGGCACCGTGAGCCTCAGCCCGGTCTACCGGCTGTCACAAAAGACCGAGTCTTCGTCCTCGTCGATGGTGTCGATAGCCTCGGCAGCCACCTGCTTGCCCTCCTTTCCACCCCCACCGCTGCCCTTGTTCTTGTGGCTTATTACCTTGGAACTGTCCTCGAGCACCATGATCGGGGTAGCGCCGTCGTGCAAGCTTGTCTTGGACCGCGAGCGCCGGTACGCGTCGCGACTGACCGCCCGGGTGAAGCTGAACTTGCGCACGAGCTTGCGGTCGAGCTGCTTCGGGCTCTTGGGACTCTTGGCCGCCGCCAGGGCCTGCTTGAGCTCATCCTCCTCCAAGTCCTCCTCCTCGGCCGGCGCCACCACGACCACCGGCGTGTCGGCCATCAGCAGCAGCTCGCTCGCGTGCTCCCTGATACACTCGAGAGCCCAGTCGACCTCTCGCTCGGTCGCGTGCTCGTGCACGACGCAAAACCGCAAGGCGTAGCGGCCGCGCACCCGCGCCGGGATCATGTGCAAGCAGCCCGAGGCGTTGATACTCGCGAGCAGCTCCTGGTTGAGCTCGTCGCCGCGAGAGCCACCGCCGCCGGCCGGCTCGCGGAGCCGGAAGCAGACGAGACCGGCGCGAGCCTCGTTCAGCAATTCGAAGCGCCGATCCCGCCTTAGCCTCGTCTCGAAGCGCTGGGCGAGCTTTATGTGGTTGCGGATGTAGGCCTGGAGGCCCACCAGCCCGTACGAGCGCATCACGAACCAGAGCTTGAGCGCCCGAAAACGCCGGCTCAGGGGAATCCCCCAGTGCCGGTAGTCGATGGACTCGGCCGAGTTGGCGTGTTGCAGGTAGAGCGGGTCCACCGCCAGGGCCGAGGTGAGCTTGAGACGGTCGCGTACCCACAGGCAGGAGCAGTCGAAGCTCACGAGGAGCCACTTGTTGGGATTCGTGTTGAACGAGTCGGCGTACTCGATGCCGGCCATGAGGGGGCGCTGCTCGGGGCAGATGAACGAGCTGCCGGCGTACGCGGCGTCGACGTGTAGCCAGACGCCGGGGAAACGCCGGCAAACGGGCCCAATTTCGCGGAGCTCGTCGAAGGCGCAGCAGCCCGTGGTGCCGAGGCTCGTCGAGACGAAGAAGGGCGACAGTCCGCGCTCGAGGTCCTCGACCATGGCTGCCTCGAGGACGGGGCCGCGTAACCGGCAGGCCTCGTCCGGCTGGAGGACGCGCAGCTTCACGAGGCAAATCATCGCGGCCTTTTCGACGCAGGAGTGGGCCTCCGTGGAGCAGTAGGCCACGAGCCGGGGCAGGAAGCCCGAGTCCTCGCCGGGGCCCTCTTGCTCCTGGAGGGCGCGGATGGCCTGGGCGCGGGCGGCCAGCATCGTCACGAGCACGCACTCCGAGGCCGAGCCCTGGATGACGCCCCCGCCGCTGCCGATGTCCTGCTTGGGGGATGAGAGGAATGCCTCCGGGAGGCCGATGGCTTTGGCGTACCAGTCGAGGACGATGCTCTCGAGCTCGGTGCAGGCGGGGGAGGCCGCCCAGGAGAAGCCGATGCACCCAATGGCATCGGACAGCATGTCGCCGAGGATCGAGGGGAACGAGTTGCCAGAGGGAAAGTACGCGTGGAAACGCGGGTGCTGCCAGTGCGTTATCTGAAAGAGAAGGAGCCACGAGTTGGTTTTGCTCAAACATATATGCATACATGTATACCCCATTTGGTACAGTTTTTTAAATCATGATGAAAAAAAATTTTTTTTTTTTTTTCATTTAATTCATACCTGTAGATACCAGATAAAATTGCTCACATTTTTTGTCGGTGTAGCTTTGAACTGTACGGTATAAGGGCGAATAAAAGTCATGTCTCTGCGGTGTTTTATATTTATGACATCTGTCTTTTTTTTTTTCTACAGGCGAGGTGGCGCAAGTTAGTCGTATAAGTATAACGCGAATCGCGAGCCATTGTCGGGTTAAAACGCTTCAGTGGAGAAAATATTGGTTTTCTATCGTTACAAAGAAGTCCAGTTTACTTGAATGGCTTGTACAAAGAGTTGACCACGCGTTCATCGAATTTTCGTTTCAATTGTCCTTTATTCATTCATTTCAACTATTACCTATAGGATTCGTCCTCAAACTATACTGAGAGACAACTTTGTTATTTAGGAAAGTGGAGGTGTACTTGTACCGTTACAAATCTTGGAACTGTTACGTACGATTGGAGCAATCGATTTTGAAAGAAAAGTTAGAGAGTATGGTGAAGAGATGACGATTAAAATACGTTGGAGAAAAAAAATACCAGTTGGGGGATAATAGATCTATACAGCGGGGAGAAATGTTCAATGAGTCAGGGTGGAGTAGATACGGTAGCTATAAATAAGTGCAAAAATGTAGGAAATAATAACGTTGTAGGAAAAGTAGAGCAAATAATGAATCGATGAGCGGAAGAGCAAGGGGTGGGATGGCTGGATGGGAAATTCATGATATTACGAACATTATCAAAATTTACAAAATTAAATAGCTTTTATAGTATTATTATAAATATCTAATAGTGTGTGATACACAATTGGAGTCATTTATAAATAACACAAATTGTACAAATTATCTTACAAATTAATAAATATGCTACATCGTAGAATAATACTCTGAAAATGGCTACATGTCGTGATCGAATTTGTCACGGGGCACGCGTATTTTCTACACAGAGTAATTTTTGTTAAACCGTTTTTTCAGAGTAGATTAATAAAAATGCATCAAGTTTCATTGTGTGATGCCAAGTAAATTTTCTATATCACAATTTTTCATATAAATAAAAAGAAAAGTTACGCAAATAACTTACCCCAGGCATTATTTTTCCCTCGACGTCTCTCATGATGGCGTCGAAAGATTCCGGCTTCAAGGGCGCTTCGTCGGGCAAAAGAGGCCTCAGGTAGCCGGGATCCACGTTCGCCGTAACTCGTTTGCCCTCGAGAGTCCGGATGTAGTTGCAAATGTACTCGACCATCTCCTTGCCGTGAACGCGAAACTCGTCGATGTTCATTTTTCCCGCTAATTGCGCTCACCGATCTTCGAAGGGCTGCTTTACCTAATACATTCTACTCGAAGAAAAAATCTCTCTCGCGCGATCCCTTTGATTGAGAAATAAACTCAGCGGGACTCAGTTGTTGGTCAGCAGCGATTCGAAGGATAAGTACCAGGAATGAAAAGCAAGCCAGGACTCGTACGGTTTAATTAATAGAGATACAGGCCATGACTTCCCCGGTCGACGGTCAGTGGCTAACTATGACCGCAGGTAGGTTCTCAGAGTGCGCAAGTCAAACTGAGCCTGCTTGCGTACGCGAGTTCTAGTCGCTTCGAAAAATACACACGTCCGATCTACGTTGTCGGGACTGCACCCACGATTTTTTACGCGCTCGACCGATTTTTAACGATTTTTTTTTTTTTTTTCGTACCCGCAGTACATCAATGAAATGACTTGATTATTCGCCCCTTTTGAGGTCGAATCAAATGAACGAAATTTTTCTAACACGTTGTACCAACGCTTGTTCTGTTTTTATTAGTACTCGAGTAAAAATGTTTGACTGCTACGTTTCAAGGTCGCGAGTGGTCGAGTGGATTTTTTTTTTTTTTTTTTTCTCTAGGCAAACAACGAAATAACCTGGATTTCGGAAACCAATGAGCTCTATGCGACGTAAAATTTATAAGGAGATATGGATGATACACGCGCATAAATAAAAATGATGAAAAGTAGGTGGTTGACTATAAAGAAGCTCGGCAGGTAGGATAATTAGCGATCCCATCTTTCTCCCCTTCGTTCACGTTTCATCCGTGTGCAAATACTGGGGCCGAGCTTGCGGAAGCGTGGTAATATTGGTGGTGAGGCGCGCGCGAAGCAAAAGGGGAGGTGGCAACACTCCCCTACGATTTATAAATAACCGTTTACTCTTTACCTACATTTAGAGGCGCGCGGGGATTTATGGGGGTGTACCGTGGACCTATATACGTGGGGCATCGAGCGGTGGACAGGTCAGCGCTCAATCAGCCGTTCAAACGCTCATTCCCGTCCTCTCTGTCTGACACTATTTTACACTTAGTGTTTTTTTTTTTTTTTTTTGTTGCTGTTGAAAATTAGATGAAGTTGAGAATTTTAAAAAGCGATCGTTCATAATAGCAATCTCCGCGATTTTTTTTTAATTATCGATGGCTCATCGTCTTGCGTTTCATTCGAATTGAAGTGGCTGAATTCGAGTTTTGTCAAAGTTTATAATAATTTATTTGGTGAAGCTTGAAAATTTTAGAAACTATATTTCAAATGTAGGCCAATTTTTATGTACAGAACTTACGTAACTTTAATAATGTGCTATAAATAAAATATACTAGCGATAGTTGATAAATAGTTAATAAATGGAGTGATCGCACATTTTCTTGCTAGCATTATTTCTGTAGACATGCACATATTTTAAATGAGTGCTTCACTTTATGCTAACTATATTAGAATGTATTTATTTATTAAAAAAAAAACGTTTTATTAGTTTTAACATATCATAGACAGTCAGAATTTTTTTAAATTTTTATTACACACGACATACATTGAATTCCCTTTTTTAAAACTATTTATAATAAGCTCAACTGACCCCGCAGTCACGTATGAACCTCCTTTACGACTTGGTCCGAGACGGAGTGCGATGGGTTTCCNTAACTAGCTCTGTTGACCCCGGAGTTACGTATGGGTCTCCTTTAAGCTCATCTGTTGGATGACCTGGTGCGAGATGGAGAGGCGTAGGGCGATGTGTAGCCGCTGCGTAGATAGCTTGTATGTGTTGCCTATGTCTTAAGGTATACTATTTTATCCAAGTGAAATACGAAAATCTGAAAAAATACATCAAAGTCATATTTTTGCAACTTGACAACGATGATCGTAAATATTTGCAAACTTGGGCAAGGAGACCTTTTCAAATACAACTATAGCTCAATAAGTTGTGTTTTTGTTTTAGTGCATTATTTGTACTGAAAATTAATTTTATTACTACTTATGGCACAGTACTTGACAAAAAAATTCATCCTAAAAATAAAAACATTTAGTAAAAAAAGTTTCATAGTATTTGAAAATAATTGTTAAAATAACCATTTATCTTTATTGTCTCGAAAATACATCGCACTGTTTTTTATGGGTTTGTTCAAGAAAAAAAAAGTTTTCAGCCCAAATGCACTCAATTGAACAGGAAATGTTTTGCCAAACTTTCAAAAATTCCTGAAGTAATTGTTTTTAAATTTGCGGAGTATGCGTACTAATAACTAATTTTCCTGTCTTTAGGCGTTTTTTTTATTTTGATTTTTTTATTTCAAACTACTATTTTTTACCTTAATTACGATTCGCCAGTATCAGCAGCATCACGTGTGTGCTTCAAATAGGCAAGTGGTCGTGATACCCATGAACGTCTGCAAAAACCAAAGTCAATTATAATGTTGTTGCTGTCTTTGGTTATGATAAAGAAAGAAAAAAATACTTACAAAGCAGGTTGAGACTTCAGGCTGCGGCTAGTGCGGCTAGCAATCGTTGGCTGAGTTTCGGGCTTGTTGAGAAGCGGTATTTTGGCGAAGCCAGTTTGAGATGCAGGATCAGCCACGATGCGGGAAATGAATGTGTGCTTTTTGTGGGGTTTCTGTTTAAATAATTAATTATAATTATTAAATATTAAATACAAAAAAGAATCCATGAAATTTTACGAATTAAAATAATCACCCTAGCCATCGTATCTGCGAGTATTTCTTTTATGATACTCCATGCAATCTCTGAAATTTTTTTGTTTTGTTAGAAATGAACGAAGGCAATTCGTATAGGCGCAACAAAAAAATAGTCAATCTTACCGACATCCTCAAGTGTTGCATTAGGTGCACCGATGGCGAATCGAATTATATACTGACCATTGATCACAGAAGGTATCATGTGCAATTTACCAGAATCGTTGATGTTCATCAAAAACTCTTTGTTGAAATCGTCGGTTCCCTTGGCTCGGAAACAGACCAAACCTAACTATGGACAATGGGTTAATATTATGATTTCGTATCGAGTGCAGGTTTTACGTGCAGGCCTAATTCTTACTTTATAAATTTAGATGTCTTTTGTAGTACGTCTTTTTGTCAAGTAAAGTCGATTTACTCAAATATACAAGTCCAGTCTTAAGTATGACTCATTTAAGGGTTCTAACCCAATATTGTATCGGCTTTTAAAAATTTTACACGCCCTAAAGATTTTTAGTAATCACTTTTTAAATATAGTCTTACGAAATTTAGTGTAACTTGGGGTAAATTAAAATTAAATATATCTTAAACCGTATGTAGCGCCCAGCTGTCCCATATAGTCCCTGTAGGTTATACACTGTTTCTACAAGCAACTTACCAGCACATCGTTGACGACTTCGAACCGCGGGTCTGTTTTCACAAGCGCTTCGAAATGTTTGGCAACCTTCACGTGATTACGAATGTAGGCCTGCAGACCCGATATGCCGTAGTTTCTCAAGACGAACCACAACTTGAGTGACCGGAATCGTCGACTCAGTGGCAGACTCCAGTTCCTTTGAAAAGTCAATCGTTCCCACGTCGATCAAATATGATTTTTTGAAAAAAGTTTTAAAAAGTATTACCTGTAGTCAATGGCTGATTCTTCGTTTGGATGCTCCAGATAAATCGGGTCGACTACCAGGGCTTTGATTACTTTCATCCTGTCGCGCACCCACAGACAGGAACAGTCGAAGTTGGTCAGCAAAAACTTGTTCGGATTGGTGTTGAACGAGTCCGCGTACTCTATCCCAGCCATCAGGTACCTGAACTCTGGGCAGATAAACGAGTTTCCGGCGTACGCCCCGTCTACGTGAAGCCAGATCTGGTGGAAAATAAAAAAATGTGGATTCTTAGCTCAATTCTAATAGGGAGATTAGTTGTACATCGCATCGAAACCGGTAGCAATAATTTGTTTTTTTTTTTTTACGAGTCTAAAAAAAATGTTTGTTACACGACTACCTGGAGCTTAGATAACCTTTTTCTTCTTCCAATTGATAAGTTTAGGTACTGGAATATTTAATTGATTTGAGTACAAGCGAAAATTACGTAATCGTGGCCGATCAAAATAGTGGTATTGGTTCTAATCAAATAAAAGACTCCAAATTAGTCACTAACAAATTTGTTAAATGTGCATCTTGAGTCACTTTTAAATTATAATGTGTTTCTTCGACTATCAGAGCAGAAAAACGGAATGTTTTATGGATAAAACTGCATTGAAATAATATAATTATGAAATGATCTTAATGCTATGCAGTTCAAGTGAAATTTTGTTCCACATTACAGCGATAAAATATGAATCCCGACCTCAAACTAAAAGAAAAAAAAAATATGGCAAAATAGGTTATGAAACAAAAATTCGCAGTTATAAAATGTAAATATAAATTGTATAACCTATAAATCTATAAAATAATTTCGATACCTAAAATTTTTTCAATTAACTAATTTTTTATTTTGTCTGACCTTAGTTTCTATAGGCAACGAACCATCTTTTTTTAGCTTTTATGAATTTTTAAGGTTAGATTCGCCAGATTAATCCTTGGATCTAATTTTTCTACACAATCATGTTTTATTTACCAACTAATGATTTTAGGGAGGGTTGGCGTCGAATAGTTAATGTGATTTTAACAAATGTTTTTTCGAGACAATATTAATTCACAAAAACTTTTGCCATGCATAACGCAAACCGGAAAATACCTTCTCTTCTTGTGACCTTGCACTTTGGTAAGGCAACATTTTTTTCCACTAGGAATTATTTTCCCGACTGATCGGAAAATGAAGAGAAATACTGTGTTTCTTGCCTAATTCTTACATTTTTTCACTTATCTTACCTCTTCGTACTTTCTGCAAACCGGTCCAATTTCCTCGAGATTATCGAATGCACAGCCGCCGGTCGTACCCAAGGTAGTGGACACGAAGAAGGGAATGAGGCCCGCAGCCACGTCGGCTTCAATAGCCTTTAAAAAAAACAATCATTTAGTCATTTTCTACTTGGGCAGCTAGTAATTTGAAAGCATAGCGAGAGATAGCCACCTGTTCCAAAGTTGCACCGCGGAGCGAGCTGTGCTCATCGGGTTCCAAAATGCGGAGCGTGAAGAAGCTAACCCTCGCGCCCTTTTCGACGCAGCTGTGGCTTTGGGTGCTGCAGTAGGCCACGAGCTTGCCCAGCAGTGCCGTCTCGTCGAGGTGCGCGTACTCTGGCTTTTCTTTTAGCCGAGCTATGGTATGATCGCGGGCTGCCACCATAGCTACGAAGATGCAGTCCGACGCTGAGCCCTGTTGGATTTTTTTTTTTTTTTTTACATAAGATAAAAATATTTTTTGTAGGCTAATTTTACTTTAACTAAATTTTTTTTTTTTTCGTTTTTATTTTTAAGTATAGTAGTGTAGGTTTTACCTGAAGACTGCCTCCACCCTGGCTGTTTTCGGTGAAGTACAGTAATTCTTTTGGCAAACCAATGGCCTTTCCTTGTAGTTGATTTATGGAAAGAAAAATTATTTATCAATCTTATACGTTTTATAATGCTCATCACAATGTGTTGGAAGTAATGTTTTTGTTAATACTTGGCAATGTTATTTAAATAATAATAACATGGTGAATATCTTAATACGCATTAAAAGTTAAATTACCCATGAAATTTCATTAAAAGCAATAATTTCAAAAAATCCTTAATTACAATTTCACGCGTACTGCTTTTACTAATATTAACTTATCACCGATGGTAATAAGGAACTAACTAACACTATTAAAAATGTTTCATTTAAATATAAGACAAATACCCAATGTGCGAAAAATTGTTGTTGCATATTATAATTTTGTTTTATCCATTTTTCAATTTACATTAACGAAACCTCATTTCCACGGCGTACCTACAAGTAAGTCGAGTTAGGTATAGAAAACATTGCCGTTGGCCATAATTTATACCGATAGAAGAGAAGTTTCGATCGAGACTTTCACGGCGTACTGCATGTACAGATTAGTAAAAGTATTCTTACCCGGAACAAAATCATAGATTTCATGAAGATATCACGATATAATTTACAAATCCGGGATTTATTAATGATTTTAAGAGCAATCTAATAACTCCGTTCTTTGACTCCGTCTATCCTTGATTGAAATGCTTTTTGACTTTTTAAGACGGGTCGTGCTCTGGGAGAGGAGCAATCCCACAAAAATTTTATAGTAACGCATTCCAACACTTGAGTAAAATTAATCCTATTTATTCCATTCAAAATGAGTTTTTTTTTTTTAGTACAATGCTTCAAATATTTTGTTGGTATACAAATGAATAGTTGTCACCATAGTATAGTAAGTAACTTGTTTCTTATTTTATTAAATTTTAAATCAAAGTTCCTTGGTTCCCCGCCTACCTTCGTCTAATTGAAAAATTGACTTTACTTTTTCTTTTCAAGTCCATCGAGAAAGGGGGTATATCACGTACCAATGCGTCCTGCATATTATGGTACGTGACAAAAAATGGGCTTTAAATAATACTCGGGTAGTGTTAGAATGTACCAATATAATTTTGCAAAATGTTTCCAAAACTTCGAAGTCCTCACGAGGCTGGTTTTAAAACAAAACAACGCGATGACGATACTTAGTGGCAGTGATTAAGAAATAAAAATCAGACTTACCAAACCAGTCAAGTACTATTGTCTCCAACTCCGTGCAGGAGGGTGAGGATGCCTGAAATGTAACAATGTAATTCAAAGATTTGACAATTTTATTTACATCAGCTTCAGGATAGACTTGTGCATGGGATTCTTTTATTGCCATGTTTGTCGATGAACAATATCTCCGGATAAAAAAATTGTCATCATTATTGATTTATGTACGCAGCTTTACGTGAATTGGGTGTGTAAAATTCGCGTATATGGTTATCCGCATACACATTAATTTTGAATAAAACTGTTACTGATAAGTTCGTATACTAGCAATATTATGCTCGCCAATCGATTATTATTAATCACTTATTGTTTATAAAACACTAAAAAAAAGTAAAATGCTTGACAATACAAAAGAATATGATTGAAAATTATTGTCAAGTAATTGTTGTAAATATTTTATATGCAATATTTAATTGAATCAACCTTATTGATTCGTGGCGATAATTCATGGCGTGAAAAATCAAGTAAAATTTTTTTCAAAGATTGCTCACTAAAATTTTATGAGGTAAAATTTTACGATAAAATTTGGATCCACTTACCCATGAGAATCCAATACATCCCATGGCATCGCACAAAATGTCACCAAGGAGGGAAGGAAATGAGTTGCCTGCGGGGAAGTACGCGAAGAAACGCGGGTGTTGCCAGTGCACCAGCTAAGAGAGACATAGAAGAAAAAGAGGCCCAATTAGATTTTATTTTATCAGTTCGTATACATTTTTTTAACCATGCAAATCATCAGGTGCACAATATTTATAAATAATTTAGCCTATAATTAGTAATGCTTCAAATTTTTATACTGAATTCTATGAATAGATGGTCAATGATTTTTATTACATGAACTTACAAAAAAGGGCTAACTTATCGCATTCTGAGAAAAATAATGTACACTATCAAACTTTAATCAAAAAATTACATTTTTTAAATTGAATTACCTTCAGCATAAAATTGAAAAAAAATTAAGCACTCTATGAATCAAATCCAACATTGGGTAGTTTTTTATTAACAACTATAAAAAATGAGTTGATACTTTTTGGAGTAATAAGAAAAAAACGACTCTAAGGTCGATTTGAGGGGTGAATGCAAAAAATTTTTCATCCAAACATTTTAAGATGTTTTCATATTATTATTTTTATCAGTCGATATCACTGATCACGTTAAAAATTAAAATACAATAAAAAACCACAATCTCATAGGAAATGAAAAAAATGAGAATACTGACCCCTGGTACAATTTTGTTCTCGACGTCCTTTACAATTTCGTCCCATGATTCCGGGTCCACGGGAGCTTCGGACGGCAGCAATGGTTTAAGGAATCCCGGCTGGAGGTCCGGTGTGACCCTTTTATCCTTTATAGTGCTAACAAATTCGCAGATGTAGTCTATCATCTCTTTGCCGCGCTCGCGGAATTCGTCGATATCCATTTTTTTCTTTTTTTTCACCCCTTTACGTAATATTAGCCCAAAAACGTTACAGTTGAAGAGAAGTGGGGTCTTCTGCACGAAAATCGGTATGGAGTAAATTCAGCTTGGCAGTGATCTTATATACGGTGCCAAGTGCCCCACGGGGAGAGGGAACAGCCAATAAGGCGAGTGGTTTGTCGAAATCCGCATCTTAATAACTTGCAATCACTTATTTCTTTTCCTTTGACTTCTTCAGCTCTTTGAAAATGTGAAAGAGATAATTCTTTTCCCCTTCACAATTTTTCAAAGTCCGAAGTTCGTTGTATGCGCGATAAGAGCAAAATCAATTAAAATATCAATGTCCGCTGTAATGCAGATGAAAGAAAAATTGAGAAATGTGCGAATGTTTGGCAAAATGTCACGCCAAGGCACAACCAAGAGGGGACTTTGCGATCTTTGATTTTGCCGAATGAAAGGTACGTGGCCGGGTCACGTTCTCTTCTTAATTTTTAATGCTGGAGAAAAGACAGGCCTACACCAGAGATGAGTAGATAAATAGTATTACTCATCTCTGCCTACACCAATCAGAGTCCAACCTGAGAGTTGCCTCTCCTTCCAGAAAAGGAGACCTATTCCCGATAGACTATTAAAGGTAGTCTATACACGTTTGTATAGACATCAAACAAGATACAAGTGGCACGTATGAAAAAAAAAAAAACAAAACAATGTAATTAGTGTAATATGTCTCCTTGTATCTTGTTAAACGTTGCATATAAGTTTGACTTAATTGTCAATAGTAGCCGTATAGTATTTATTATCCTTCTATCCAGGGGGATATTATTGGTTGATGGGAATAAAGTAATGGCTAATCTAGATTTGCCATTTGTCTTTAACGACTTATAATTTATTTGGAATGTCCCAATCAGCGAGGTATTCTGGGGTTTTCCGAGTGTTTATTGCAACATCATTTTCCGCGGCTGGTGTAGTTCGCGTCATGCTGGACTCGTAATCAGATGACCAAGTGGCAGCGAGTGTATTACCAGCAGGGTGTCCTTCGTACATGGAAAATTTCGGGAAATTAGTTTAACCATGAGAATTTTTATTTCTTTTGCTGCAAAAATTTTATAGAATATCTATCACCATTTCCCTTGTGCGGTAATTACTTGAAGTGATTTGAAGTACATATTTATCGAATTCAATGTCAACGTCAACGGTTGTGTGACCCATACCGCATAGATAAGAGAGTATATCTACTCGAATATACTTTTGAATTTATACTCTTTTTTTCTGCAACTGATCATTAACGATAGATTGCATTGTATTAAAATGGATACTCAAGCTAGAATACTCATGTGAACTAAAAAATATCATTAAAACAAATCCATTTGATATATTTTACCGCAGACAAGATAAAAAGTCGTTGATACAACTAAAAATGCATAAAAAACATTCAATTATGGTCTAAAGACGGACATATAGATATTCAACAAATATATTCGCACTACATACATTTTTTTTTTATAAAAAAATGCTCACTTATCTCCTTTGTAAGATGCAACGGTTGGAGGTATACATTTAGCTTCGATACATCTTTTATGTCTCTTAATAGAAATCTTGATAAAAAAACGTCTGTTAAAAGTCTCAGAAACATTAGTCGATTCAATTATTGTACTTACTATTACAGCTGAAAAAGCTAAAAGAGAATTGATAGAAATTAGCTTGATAAAAAATGCTAAGGAATTATAAAAAAAACTATTATCGGAGAGACGACTGTAACGAGGGTTGTGGATAATAATAATTAATATATACTGCCCTATGAAATCTTTTCTAGTGGTTACTCTGACTGCGCATGAAAGAGGGTTTTCGATTAACAAAGACTGCATTGCGGAAAAACAAAAAATGAAATCGTTCGTCTCTCAAAAAATAATTTATGATGCTATTAAATCAAGTAAAAAAAACGTATACAGCACGAAAAGAAACATTATTTGTTCTTTTACGGGTTCAAAGTTGCAAAACAAATCCATCACGGGGTGTTTTTGCCCTTGTTTTGCATACAATGGATGGACTCATCGAATCAACTGAAAAACTCTCTAATATATCAGTAAACGTTATTTAAAATCATATTGCCACAAAAAAAAATTGTTAATAAGATTATTGTCACACAAATTGACAGCAATGGTTAATGATGAAAAGAAATGAGGGCAAAAACTCCACGGTATTGGTAAAAACAGATTTTTCTTAGCTTAAACCGAAAGTTAAAATTTCAATAGCTAGACGAAAAAATAAAAATCGGCTCAGCGTGCACTTCCCTCGCAAGTTAATCGCTGCATATACTTTTAGCTTTAGATAAATAATTAATTATAAAAGAGTGGCGTTGACTCAGCGATTAGCGTGCTGATCACACATACATCACTCGTCTCGGTGTTGTTATTTTTTTTTAGAGCTGTTTTCAACAAAAAAACATCCAAAACATCATCTATTGTACATGGATTTTTTTCTAGAATTTTCCTTTGTAGTAGATACTAATATATAGGGAACAAACGGTAGTCCCGAGGATAGTCCTGCATTTAATAAGGAAAAGTCACTGTAGGTGTGCGGCTAAAAGATTTTTTTACTCATAAAACTTGGTTTTTACTTAATAATCTTATTGTAGTCCCAATGGCTGATGCATTTACGTATGTGAACACGATTTTTATTACATCACTGAATGCAGAGCCAAAGACGAAGGTGAAGGTCAGATAAATATATAACATAACAACAATATAATATCAGACCGAGTTGCAATCACTGCGGAGCAACAGTAGTGTACATATAGTTACATGCTTATACTGTAGTTTGTCGATGCAGAGATAAAAAATAATGTTGTTGCTGTCTTTGGTTATGATAAAGAAAGAAAAAAATACTTACAAAGCAGGTTGAGACTTCAGGCTGCGGCTAGCAATCGTCCAAAGTCATGCATTGATAAACAAATGACCGAATCACAACATTCGACGCAAAGTGTCTTCATTTTAACTTTAGATAAATGAACCAGACAATTATTACGTTTATTCTCTGGATAAGTAAATTATCAGAAATAATCAATTGAACTAAAATCGAACTATAATTCGTAAAAAATGTCATTTAATTTTGGCTCATTTGTACAGAAATAATATTTGTTTACTCGTATAGTGCACAGACAAAGACAGCTCGTTACTCACGTAAAGTACAATCGAAGAAGGGCATTTGTTTATCGATGCATACTTTATTCTTGTACAAAGTAAGCAAAGACGCTCTTATCAGTCATTGATTCACTTAATTGTTTTTATAATTGTTTAGTTATCTGGAGATAAAATGAAGATACTCGGTGTCACGTGGTGATTGCGTCGTTTTTTATCTATCCGCAGATAAAAAATGAAAACGCCCTCGTAACATAGTGATTTTCCTGTGTCTGTTTATCAATGCATAACTTATTTATGTAGAAAAATAACCGCTCTGATTTATGTAAAAGTTGACTTGTTTATTTATTTATATTTATTTATGATAATTACAAAGTATAATCGAAGGTGTCTTATTTAAGTCAGAAATGATATAATCGAACATCATAGGAAAGCAAACATCGTTACCATAAAATTTATGCAAAAATTTTTTTTTTTTATTTTTACCTGTTTTGACACAAATTTTGAGTGATAACGTCTTTAACTAAAATTTAAGTTGATAAGTACTGACACTTGGCTCCGAATGGAATCCTTCTAATGACGATCGCTGCTTTTATTTTTCTCTTCCTGACTTCATTTTTTTCGCGGATAATTTTACTTGTACTTTTTTCGTCTGACTTACTCTCTAGTTTAATCAAAGTTTATATGTCTATAAACGCGAGGTACTCGCTCCTTATTATTTTTTTCTAAATCATTTGGATACTAATCTAAGAATGTACACCAATTCGGAGTGTAAACTTTAAAATTGTAATTTAAAACTGTAATTATTTGATTATTAAAAAGCTATTTAAAAAATGAATTATGAATATGTATTACGAGCCAATAATAAAAAGTTATTTTTACGATTTTTTTTTTCATAGCAAATTTCGAGATGGGATATCATTTGTCTCATAGGAAATTATGTTGAAATTTCATGTTCGCAAAAATTACGAGCCAAATCGCAATTGGCACGCTGTAAAACTATTGAAATAATGTGCGAGTCGCTTATACCTGAAAGCATTTATGTATGGAAGTCTTATTCGTGTGAAAATATTGTAAAGATATGGTGGTATTTAATTCAAAGCTTTTAAGTTTTGATTATTTTCAACTTCAAATTACATATAATATTATTAAGTCTTGATGTACATTTGTCTGACGAAGGTACTGTGATACCGAAACAGCTGTAACACGTTTTTAACGAATTAAGTGAAGATCGATAGTACATAATAAGTCTACTTTTTCATTTAATCTAATTCAAATTACATGGTCAATAGTGAAAAATAATATTTTTTTCTCGCTTTATAGCTCTATTTCTGTAGATATGCACATATTTTAAATAAAAACTGCATTTTTTACACAATACCTGAGTGTATATTTTAAATTAATGGTTCGGATTCTCTCGTTCACAAACCTTTTCATTGTGATGCAGGTACTTCCGAGAGACGTTTTTATTTTTGTAATAGTTTTCAGTCATCGAGGCTATCTACTTATATAAGAAGCTATTGTGGCTATAGTATTCACCCTATCACGTTACATTAGTAGGTAAGTACCCATTGTAAGTAGACAACTTACTGCAAATAGTGTACCGATCGTCCCCCTACGATTTCTGATCGGCAAGTCTGCGTACGATGCTAACTACATTAGTGTGTATTTAAATATTTACAAAAAAAAAATAATTATGTAAGGTTGAACCCATAAACAATCATAATTTTTTGAAGTCTTTGGCCTGGTGCCTTGGGCCTGATGTTTGCACAAAAAAAAAATAATTATGTGACTCTTCACAGAAATAATATTGGTGATCAATATCGATAACACGAGTTTCTCTTTTCTTCTGTTCCAGGAAAAAAAGTTGCCAGGAGAAAATGGGATCAACGTCAAAAGGCTGAGTAGGACGAAACAGTACCGGTAAAGGGATACGAATACATATTGTCCAGGACGAGGATTAAAAGAGAAGGTGAAGGAGTGCGGGACCAAAGTCGAGTGCCCATAACGCACATGGCAATGAGTTCGGCGAGTCCGAGCCCAGCTGCACTGCTGCTGGCCGCGTTGATATTATCGACGACGATGGCAGGTACGTGGACGTAATACCCGATCGCGTGATACACACACACGTATGCATGTGGCGGACCACGGAGTTCACCAAAAGTTACCTAAGACAGGGTTATCCGAGACCTGCTTATAGAATTACAGTGGATGCCTTTATATATAAGTGAAATTCGAAACTTGGCATACTTACTCCAAGTACCAAACTTGGACGGAATCTATGTTCTGTACGTGTAGAGACGTGTATGTATCAGTAAATTATTATTCGATTACTGAAATTTCTGATTGAATGAGCACATATTATATTGTGAGGTGATGTGGAAATTTAAGACGATAAAGTATGTAATTTCTTTCTGAATAGCACTATGTTACTCAAAGAATCAATAATTTGGGAATATGTACTTTAACATACAATTATATATGAAATGTAAAATATCTCATCAAATTTAGAAAACTTGTTAAAAGTATTTAATTTTTGTTTGAATTAAAATTGTTTAAATTTCATGAAATATGTGCTTAAAACTGTATCAGATAATAGATAATTTTTTTGTACAGTGCATCTGTGCTTTTATAGTTTAAAATTGTAAAAATAATTTTTCCGTTACTGCTGCCATTAAATTTCATTACCTTAAATCAATTCAAAAAATATAAAATGTAATGTAGCACCCACAATAACATTTTTTTTAATTCTAAAAATAACATGCTTATCAAGGATTTCTTAAGCATTTACAAGTGAAACGCTATCAAGTTTAACGATAAAATTTCATAGTTTGCATAACAAGAACAACTTGTTTGAAATTCATGCATAAACGTATTCANTTTTTTTTTTTTTTTTTTTTTTTTTTTTTTTTTTTTTTTTTTTTTTTTTTGTTGGTAACAAATAAGTACAGTATAATGAAATATGTGTGAAATTCGTGAGTGTAATAAATAAATTGTCAATCTTACCGACATCTTCAGCCGTTGCATGTGGTGTGGTGACGCAGAATCGAATTATATACTGACCATTGATCACAGCGGGTACCATGTGCAATTTACCAGAATCGTTGATGTTCAGCAAAAACTCTTTATTGAAATCGTCGGTTCCCTTGACTCGGAAACAGACCAAACCTAACTATGGACGAGGGGTTAATATTATGATTTTTCATCGAGTGTAAGTTTTGCACGCAGGGACGAGCTGGACTAATTCGCACAGGGGAAAATAGAACACTTAAAATTAAGGTATCTTTTTTAGTAAGTACTTCTTTAGGTCAAGTAAAGTTGATCCACTCATTTATACAAGTCTTAAGTATGCATGACTCTTTTAAGTGTCCTAACCCAATGTATTAATTTTAAAAATTTTACACGCTGCATGGTAATTTTTTGAAATATGCGAATCATTACTGCAATCAGTATTTGTTTTTACAAAGTGTAATTAAAATTACGATTTCATTGAATTATTCTTGGTTTAGACATAAAATGAACTATAAGATGTTAATGACGGCAATAATACTGTAAGGTATTGGGTATTACATAGGATTTTTTTTATAGCAAATAAAAATAGAAGAACTCTGACGTATAAAACAATTTAAGGATCACTCAATACTATTTAAAAATTATAAAAACTTTTCAAAATATGTACCATGAAAAATGAACATTTTGATAAACTTGATCTGTCCAGTTCAAGAAAAGATAAAAATCTTAAAATTTTTACGGTTTTTACGCGTTCCGCCTTTCCGTACATTACCAATGGGGTCCCTTCGATCAGCAAACTCAGCATAGATGGCGTACTGTAGCTGAGAGAAAAATGGCGTCACTGACACACTATTACTATAAGTGACGGCAATATACGGTAATGTGGACTTACTTATGTGACAACATCTCTGTCACGCTGACGTCAGGAGATCACGCATAGTACATTTTTGTCAATGTGACAACATTTTTCTTGTAGCTACAGTACGCCATCTATGCTGAGTTTGCGTTTCGTAATTCGTAGGGACCTCAAAGGTACACCATATCTACTTGCAACTTACCAGCACATCGTTGACGACTTCGAACCTCGAGTCTTTTTTAACGAGCGCTTCGAAATGCTTGGCAAGCTTCACGTGATTACGAATGTAGGCCTGCAGACCCGATATGCCGTAATTTCTCATGACAAACCACAACTTGAGCGACCGGAATCGTCGACTCAGTGGCAGACTCCAGTTCCTTTGAAAAGTCAATCGTTCCCACGTCGATCAAATATGATTTTTTGAAAAAAGTTTTAAAAAGTATTACCTGTAGTCAATGGCTGATTCTTCGTTTGGATGCTCCAGATAAATCGGGTCGACTACCAGGGCTTTAATCACTTTCGTCCTGTCCCGCACCCACAGACAAGAGCAATCGAAGTTGGTCAACATGAACTTGTTCGGGTTGGTGTTGAACGAGTCCGCGTACTCGAGTCCGGCCATCAGGTACCTGAACTCTGGGCAGATGAACGAGCTACCTCCATACGCTCCGTCCACGTGAAACCAGATCTGATGAAAAAGAAAACCGAAAGATAATTATTTTTCCTCAGTCCTAAGAGATATCATTACTATATACAATTTCTCGCAGTCATCGTATAATTTTGAGATGCCATTTGCGAAAGAGTTAATAATAGGGAGATTAGGTATTAGCTTCGCATTACATTGCATTAACTTTTCGATACATCGCATATCGTCATAAGGGACAACACTGGGACAATTTCTTGACTTTTCCAGCCTATGGTCGTAATGTACCATATCTTGTTTGATGCCGATGTTTACGTTTTGATTTTCGATATTTTGTTTATTTAACTTACCCCTTCGTACTTTCTGCAAACTGGTCCAATCTCCGTAAGTTTGTCGAATGCGCAGCTGCCGGTCGTACCCAAGGTAGTGGACACGAAGAAGGGAATGAGGCCTGCTGCCACGTCGGCTTCAATAGCCTTTGAAAATAACAATCATTAGTCCTTTTCTACTTATGTAACTACATTGTAAGATCCAAGTGTGGTAAAGTACACATTTAGAGCGTGTCATCGAAATTTCCGTTTTGATGAAATGCATTATAGTAGACTTGATAAATGTTTTACAAAAAACCAAACTGATGCTTTGCGAACTACAGCATCTAATCAATTAAACTAATCTTTTTTCTTCTTTAACGATTGACATAATAAGGCTGTAGGTAGTAAAATACTTCTGTAACAGATTTTACACACTTGTAAATGTGTTAAATCAGTGACAGCCCAGCTTTTACACTACACAGCTTTCTTACATTGACTTTTCCCATTCAAATGTGTCTAATTTAATGGAACTGGTTAACCAGTTGGTGCACAATTGATTTTGTTCTTATCCACGCCAACACGATGTGTATTATAAAAAACAAAATTTCAACTATACACTTTTCAAACGTATCAATTAACACTCTTTGATTTACAATGTAATGGTATTCTACACCATAGCGAGAGATAGCCACCTGTTCCAAAGTTGCACCGCGAAGCGAGCTGTGCTCATCGGGTTCCAAAAGACGGAGCGTGAAGAAGCTAACCCTCGCGCCCTTTTCGACGCAGCTGTGGCTTTGGGTGCTGCAGTAGGCCACAAGCTTGCCCAGCAGTGCCGTCTCGTCGAGGTGCGCGTACTCTGGCTTTTCTTTTAGCCGAGCTATGGTATGATCGCGGGCTGCCACCATAGCTACGAAGATGCAGTCCGACGCCGAGCCCTGTTGGATTTTTTTTTTTTTTTACATGAGATAAACATATTTTTTGTAGGCTAATTTTACTTTAACTAAATTTTTTTTTTTTTTTTTTTTA